CCCGAGCCCCCTCCTCCCGCCCGGGTCATTGACGGACACCCGGCTATTGACGTCCGCCGGATCATGGACTCCCGTCGGTGAGGTCGTGGCTGACAGTACCTTGTCGATTGGGAGGGCTACGGTCCAGAAGATCGGTCTTGGATTCTGGGATCATTTATTTTGGATCCTGACCTTATTTCTGAGTGCCAGTCTTCTCGGTCATCCGGTTCCTCTGGACCGCCAGGTGGCGGTCATTGACGTAGGGGTTGGGGTGATGTTAGAAACCTGGTTTTGGGTTGTGTTTTTGTTTTCAGTTTGTGCAGATAGTCTGGAGCTGCTGTCACTGGAGGGCGGAACCACTGATTATCACTCACACCTGCAGATCCTCTCCTGCTATCATCCAGGGAATAAAAGGAGTTGGCTGTCAGTTCTCCAGTGCCTGAATGTTTGCTTGCAATGGTATCTCATGCTCCCACAGTTTGTACTCTTGTGCTTATTTCTGAGAAGTTTTTTCCCCCTGTGGAACTTTAATATTAACTCTTGCGATCTCCTTCCAAGGCTTCCTCCACCACCTCCTGGTTCATCTACCAGAGTTTCCCCGAGCCTCCTCGAGAACCCAAGATCTCCTGGAGCAGTTCTGAGACTGACAGATTCAAGGTCTTTTTCCCCGGTCCGCACGGTAATCTGTCCGCCCTCCATCGCTCCAACCATCTGGCTGCACTGACTTGTCTTTCACTCAACCACCCCACACTGGTGGACGCTCCTTCACAACCCAAGTAAGAAGTTTTTTGGTTCCTCATCATTTCCTCAGTATTTTTGTGTTGCTCATCAGATTCTCCTCTGCCTTCAGTGATTCCCTTCCCCCGGGTCTCCAGCCCCAGAAGGAGATTCTCAACTTATTTGCTTTTTATTTGTAAATAAACCTTTTGAACTTTCCTTATCTCCTGAGAGTGTTCTGCATGTGGGTCAAACATCTTTCTAAAATCATGACACTCAAATCACCCAAGATGTTAATGCTTAGATTTAACATCAAACATCTTTTACAACAAAGGAAATAAATAAATAAACAGTAAACGTCATATTTTTGTGCCATTAGAACCCAAATTAAAAAAATAACATTTTAAATACAGATGTGGGTGATATGTTGACTATAATTTAACATGAATCATTTAAAATTAGACGTCCTTTTCATATAATGGTAAAGCAAGAAGTTCCCGGCTTAAATCCCAGTTCAGACACTGGGTTTTTCTTCTGCACAGTTTGCATGATCTCCTCTTGCTTCTGTGGGTTTTCTCTGGGTACTTCGTTTTCTGTCTGGTTTAATAAAGGTCAATGCATAATAAAACAGACCTTATTCTACTCTGGAGTTGGCCAAACAGAGAGGTGCCGAGTTGGAGTGGGCATACTTTGGGCCCCCAGTAGAGAGGGCAGCTTCCCTGCACCTTCAGGTGAGGACACGAGCTCTGAGGATCATTTGTGTCTTTGTGCTTAACGACTGTTCAGAGTATCCAGTATTCTTGGAGTCCTTACAGCAGTGCTGGAAGGTGCTCCAGCTGGACTCCTTTATTCTGCTGGGAGACTTCAGTGCTCACATGGTAACGACAGTGTGATCTACAGCTGTATGTTTTAGACACTCAGGTGAGGAGAGTCAGCTGATCACCACCTGACAGATGCTGAATCTTAATTTATGCACATTTTATACTAAATTGAAAAACAGAAGAAAACTTTGTCTCCAAAACAAAAACACAAGAAACAAAGCTGTGGTGAACATGATGGAAAAATCTTCAGACTAAACAGCTGAAACACATCACTAAGAAAAGTGTAGAAACAACTAACATCCTGTTTTTACTTCAGGTTTTTAGTTTTTCTCAGCGTTTAGTTTGATTATCAGCTCTCAACACTTCTCTGTGATCGACTCAGACTGGTTCAGAGGTGTGACGTCAACCAACATGTTGTTACTAAACATGTGAAAAACACTGAAGAGTAAAGTATTACAGCAACAGTGTTTTATATAGAAAACTGTGGAGGTGGGGGGTGTTTATGTAGAATGGAGCCAGATTCTGACAGAGACAAGGAGTTTAAACAAAACTCAAATTCTGTTAACTGAGTAAAAAAAATAAACGAATAACAGAACAAAATCCAAAAGCCACGAGTGAACAGAGAGGACAAATAATGCTGGACTGAAGAGAGAGCAGAGAGTGCTGATGACACAGGTAGAAAAAACAAATCTTGACAGAGGACATCCTCGTCTTCTTTAGTCTCAAGAAGCTTGAACCTCGATCACTTGGTTGATATAATCTGCTTCTTCTGAGGCCTGTGGACAGAAAACAATCAATAAATTTGTATTTTTTCCTTCCTAGTCTCACCAGACCAACAATAAAACCAGAGTTCTGAGAGAAAAACAATCAGTAGTAGTTTACCTTCTTTGGTTTGTTGAAGAATCTTGATCTAAAGCAGCTGATGATCAAACATTTAACACCATCATGTCAGCATCACTGTTGAACAGATACAGAGTGTAAACTGATAGATTTCACATGATAAACACATTTTAAAACAGTTTCCGGTAAAAGTGTCTTTCTAAAATAACGTTTATAGATTTTAGATCAGTTTTCAAAAGCTTTAAAGGAATCATTAAAAGCACAGTGTGTAGGATTTGTAGTTTTCAGCGACATCTAGTGGTTGAGTGGTTGAATCATCCTCCCTGGTCCTCCCCCCACCCCCACCCCCCGCTTCCAAACACAAAGGAGTTGCTGCGGTGTCTCTCAGGTGTCAAAAACCTTTGATAATTCCAACCACGATGTCTACCAGCAGCTTCAGAGCTAGTGATGTTTCAAATGGTAAGATTATGAGCTTTAATAAATGAAATTATCCCAGTGTAGTGAGATTCTGCTGTTGATTATTGAACAGTTGCTAAATTATAAATTCCTTTTAATTTATTAGCATAACGGGGCACCACCTGGTAATCCAGGAAATTAATTTATAGATCTTAATCAATCTCAAATACTGAATAGTGAGTCCTACCAGTTTAAAGAGTAAACCCAATAAATTACGCACAGACGAGCATAAATTTCTAAATATATCCTGTATTRATTGATTCAGAGGTTACAATACAAGCAGATTATTTGGCAACAAAAACCATTATTATCAAGACCTTGAGGTTTAATAATAAGCGTCACTTTATCACCCTTTAATCATCTCTAGCATCATTCTAACTGAACCTCTTCTAAACTAGCCTATACTAGAAAAAAATAGAAAAACTTACAGATTAATAAAAAGAAAGGGTTAATTCATCGATTAAGAGGGGACTTGAATTATGGGGGAAATGAACTTGCCAAAGCCTTCTTCATTACAAACTTAATGATCCAGAACCATCTCTACACCACGTCAGCTGAGCTGAGCACACCGTCACAGAGAAAGTATATCTGTCCTACCACTTCAGATGCTTGTAAGGTTGTCCCAGGGTACCGGAGCTCGATCGAAGCTGGGTCAGCGATGTCGCCGATTTCAGAGCGGTCCCTTGTGGGTACAAACTAAACACCTCGGAGCGGCTTGGGGTGGCTCCAAGCTGGAACCAGGAGTCTGCTTCTAGATCCGTGTTGATTGAAAAAGTTCTGATCAAGCTCGCTTCCTGCATAAATCCAGTCCCGCACTATAAAGAAGAATCAACAACTTTGAAGTTACAAAATAAAATGAAAT